GTGCGTGCGTGTGTGTGTGTGTGTGTGTGTGAGAAAGAGAGTCTTAGTCATAATATTTCAATTTACTTAGCAAGAGGTGTTCCATTTGGGTTGTACTACGTAAAGGGCAGAGAAATTAGGCAAATGATTCAAGCTCTTTTAGGCGGCATTTATCTGAGCAGTGCACACGTATGGAATACATAAAATGCATTCACCCTGCTTGTACTTATAAAAAAAGGATAATGTCACATGTGTGCTGTATGTTAGAGTGTATGCTGAAATATGAACAGCAGGATTAGCATTTAGGATTAGGAATTTGTCTGAGACATGAGATCACAAGAAAGAGACTGAGAAAATGAAAGAATGGTGGGAGCCTAAATGTGTATTAGCAGCATTTTCCAGCCATAACCAGAAGCCAAAGACAACTTAAGTACATAAAGTACTGACATCATAATTTCACTTCACCAGATTTTGTTTGCCTGCGGTATATTTTAGCTGGCAGTCACAGATGCTACTCACTTTTCAAGTTGAGATCTGAGGGATTTCTAAAATTTGTTAAATGTTTAAATGCAGAAGAAGTTAAAAACAGCCCGACCATAACCAACAAGATTGTTATTATGTCGTTAAAAACTTAATTTAAAAGAAAAAAACATAAAATTTGAAATTTGTGTAAATGTTTTTCCAACTAGACATGAATAAATAGAACTGGCTGAATCGCTAATTGACATCCAGCCTGATATTGATGCCACCTTTGTGGCTCTAACATAATCAGTTTTTTATTTGTCCACCCTCTGTATGATTTACATAATGTGAAGTGAGAGATGAGGGGGCTGCATAAGAATTTAATTGCAGGGTTATAGGTGCAATCTGCGGACATGATAGCAGACTGTTTAATAGGTGATTCAATTAGGAAACAGGAGAAAAACATGAGACCAAGGGGCCATATGTTCGCTTCTGCCCCAAAGTCTCTGGAAAAAAAGAAAGAAAAAAAAGAACACATAAGTCAACAGATAGTTTTCAGATTAATCCCTGTGACATCCTTTTGTACCAGAGCAGCCCCCACGTGGGGGTCTGCATAAATCGCGTCTTGCTGGATGTGATTGGATAGTTTATAGATGATTGGCAGGGGGGTGCAACGGAGCGTGTATACTTTTCTGTCGCTATTGGCTGGCTTTAATGGCCGCTCCTCCCTCGGACCACACACCATTGGCTTTGGGGGTTTCGCGAAGGAGCTGGGAAGTTGTAGTTCTTTACAGCAGACGCACATCTGTAGGGCTTATTATCGACTAATATGAATTAAACTACACGTCCCGACGTCGTGCTACGGGTCCTTGTAATTGTAGTGAATATGTAATTGAGCTCGTATGACTGGTTGCTTCTAAATTTGGCGTCGCGGAGGCAGGCTGCTGTAGTCGGAGAGGTGGTCGGTCGGCGGGTGCTGAATGAGGATGCAAACCTTTAACGGAGACTGTAGGAAATAAACCAATGAACGCGTGACAACGGGACGCTGTGGAGAAGCGTACTCGCAGACAAGTAGGGTCATGGTGTGCGAGATTTTAATGTTTTCTGTGAGAAATCTGAGAAGATAGAGGATTTGTTGTTAGTTCAGAAGGAGAGCGTTAAGCGCTTAGAATAAGGTGCTGAAGATTTTGGAAAAGACTGAGAAAATTTTTGCTTTTATTATTACGCTGAATGGACTTTTGAATTACTGTCTTGCTGTCTCTGGTCAGCCAAAGGTCCGAGGATGTCTCCACTCTTCGCGGAACCTGCATTTAGCCCGCAAACCAGCCACTGACTGACTTTTTACGCACGGAGAAAGCTCGGTTCTCACACACTTTGTTTTCGTGTTTTTCTGGATGAACATTGCAATACATTTTCAATGATTCGAGATCTGAGCAAGATGTACCCCCCGGCGCGGCATCCGGTAAGTACAGAACAGTAGCGGTAAGAGCAGTGTGTCAAAACAGCGCAGATTAACAGTCGCGCCTGATGCGTAATCAGTTTAGATCAAGTTTCCGTGCCACTGCGCGCTCTCACGGACAATTGCGCTCATTGTCAAACTGCCACAGCTGCATGTGTGTCTCTGAGTGTGCGTGAGTTAACGTGTAAGGAGACTGAGTGAAACCAAAAAGGCCATCCTTATCACAGAGGCCTATTGTCAGCTACAGTCCTGCCTGTGTGTGTGTCGTGACGCTGAACTTTGGTGGCTCAGTTCTTCCTTTCTTCCTTCGCACGCTGTTTGCTTTGGATTGAGGTCCCTCATCAGCCGGGACAGCCGTTCAAGTTCACTGTCACCGAGTCCTGCGACCGGATCAAGGAGGAGTTCCAGTTCCTGCAGGCGCAGTATCACAGGTAGGATTTCGGATACGAGCATGACATTTGGGCTGCACTGAAACATCAGCTCGTCAGCCAGAACGGCAGTAAACTTACGAACCGTTCTGCATTCCCCACAATAGAAGCGATTGCGAATTTGATCCCTGTTGTTCTGAGTGCGCATTAGAAGTAATTAGTGGGTTAATTAATCACTTTAATAGCTGGAATTAAAAAAATTAAATGTTAAAAAATGTTTACATGTAAAATGCACAATTAATAATTAATACATACGTTTGGTTTTAGATTATTAAATGTTACCTATAATATTTTTTTTCTTCGTAATTACCTTTTGGTTCTTGCACTTTTGGTCAGTTGAAACCAGTTTTCCTAAGTCACCTTGGATATCAGGAGCTTATACTAGTGACCCCCTCCCCCCATCCACACACAGAAAATGCTAACTAAAAAAATAATAAATCTAAAAGAATTAATTGATTGATTGACTGTGGATTGACTCACTGTAAACCGAAAAACCCGAGATAGTGTTAAAGAAATGGTCGAGTTCTGTGCTGCTGTGTACTAGTCATGTATGAGTCACGAAGTATGACCAAATTATTAGGGAAATGTGTGATGCAAGAACATGAAATACAAGACAGAAATGTATTTTTTAAATTTAAGTTTCTATTAAGAAATACAGTATGTTGAGTTTGACATTTATTTTCAGGGATGTTATATTGCTATTCCTCTCAAATGCACCATATGCAGCTAAAACAGTGGTAGCCTCTATTTGTCTAAGGTCCATCTATTACTAGTGACTAACCACGGGTAAACCCCCATCAACCTTTGCATGCATGCACATCTCTCTCTCTCTCTCTCTCTCTCTCTCTCTCTCTGCAAGTGCAAGTGGTGTGAAATACTTTTTTACCTGACATGATGAAGTGTGAAATACATTGCTCAGGGCTGAACCACAGGCACAATACCAATGCATAATAATCACCCACTTCTGGCCACCTCATAATTATTACCCAATCACCTGGTGAGATGAACCAGTGGTCCAGTTTGTTGGCCAGTCCTCAGGCTGAACTGGCTGAATGGTGCGCTGCATGCTTAATGCTACAGCCGCACAGATCAAACTCTTTCGTTCCACTGAAATCCAAAACGAGGGTGGCGCTGATCAGATTTTATTTATTCATTTTTTAAAATAGCAGTGAGTCAGACATACTCTGGGAATACGCTACAATAAGAATTACTGTGGTCCCACATGTTTCATGTTTTTTAAGGATGAATTTATTAGTATTTATTATTACGGTAGTTCTTATTTAGAAGAAATGTAAACATGTTATGGACCTTACTAAAACAATGAATCTCTTTGAGAATATTCCCCAACCTTAGAGTACAAATAAAGAAGAGGACACCGTCATCATCAAACTTAAATAAAGTTGAGGTATTAAACATTTAAAGTCTGGCAATGCCCCAGATTTTCAGCTGATTTCAGCATTTATATTTAAGCAAATGTTGAAATTTCTCATTTCTTTTCATGTTTTACATTGCTGTGATTGACGTGTACACGCAAAGGTTTTGATGATGATATAAACCCGATGAGTTCCTTCTTAAAAGATGCACAAAAACTTCATGAGGAGCGACACACTGGCAGACACAAAAGAGTTAAGCTTTTCCGCAAAATGGATCCTAATGTTATGGTTGCTTTTTTTGTTGATGTTGCAGTTTAGGCTTTTACTCGCACTATAAGAATATATGATGAGGTTTGTGTGGTTGTCCATCGATCCATTAATTACTGCACTACACCTGCTGAGTAAGTGCCTGTGTCTGCAGAGGAAATTGCTGCATTCCAAACAACTTATTTGTCTTTCTTTTGTAGCTCTCATATTTAGAAATGCAAATTTAAAGTGGCAGGATGCAGTGACTTGCCTGCGCAGTATAGTGCAAGTATCATCTCTGCTTTCAGTTTGCTAAAGTCTTGTTTCATTCTCGCTCATCCTCTTTTATCCACTCCCTACAAAATAAGTCGGTTAGAAGTCAGAAGTCAGAAAAGATTTTTGGTCTTTTGGTTTTACTTTTGATCATGTGTTTGCGTGTGGCATGGATGCAGCTTGCTGTGTGTTTGATGGTGACACGTGCTAACAAAACATTTTCTATCTGTCTCGCAGTCTGAAATTGGAATGTGAGAAACTGGCCAGTGAGAAAACTGAGATGCAGAGGCACTATGTCATGGTGAGACAGCTTACTTCATGTGTTGCCATTAGTATTTTATTAGTGTGTGTGTGTGTGTGTGTGTGTGTGTGTGTGTGTGTGTGTGTGTGTGTGTGAAAAAAGAGGAACAGAGAAGACATGTTTGATCGACCTTGCTTTTATCTTTCAGTACTACGAAATGTCATACGGGCTGAACATCGAGATGCACAAGCAGGTAAGAGATGTTTTTACTCAAATGATGAAAAGGAAAAAAAACAACAAAACAAAACATCTGACGCAAACCACGCTGTACTGTGTGACAAAAGGAATGCAAATGGAAATGGGACTTTTATTCCAATTTGTAAGTGCTTTTAAATTCTAAATATCTCACTGGGCAAAGTCCAGGAAACTTGGAGGCACTTTAATTTATTCACGCCATTACATAGGACGGCTTTTAAGCAGGGGACTGACATATCTCAGTTTTCAAAATGTCCCAGCATGCTGGTAATATTCTGGAAGAATATTTTTGAGGTCTTTACCTTTTCTCTTTCACCATTTTCTTTGACAGCGAAGGGTCATGTGCTTCTATAATACAGATAACGCAGCTGGAGTATAGTTATTGCTTTTTCTGGATGTCAAAGACTGCTATCAGTTTACAAAGTGCTCTGAAAAAGTGGCATTTCCAACATAAAACAAGTTACATTATCAATATGTTGATATTTACACACAAAATGATGTTATTCTTATTGCTTGGGATTTTCTAAAATAGGATTAGAATTCCCAACTTGAGAAATGAGTTACACATTAAAAAAAACTCCCTTCACGGCACACATTTAGCAACTTTCTGAATTATTGTAAAGGGTCATAGTGAAACGGGAGAAGCCCAGGATGAGGCCAGAACATCAGCCACCAACATTTAAGAATTTGATCCATTTGTCCCCTGTTCTATTTTCGAGCGGTCGGTTGCCTCGTGAGGTTGAATAGTCATTTCACATGCGAATAATAATTTCATCAGTTTAATTGAACAAGAAAATGGGCTGAAAAATGACTCAAGCGAACGAGGATTTGGCCTTTAACGAGCCTTTACATTATTGCTGCCTTTTTTAAACACGGAAGGCCATTAGCATAAATGTCTCTGTTAACCACACATCAGCTGCCAGGATAAATGAACCACAGCTAACCAGCTACACATTCATTTCCAGACAAATGGTGTGTGTAGTGTGTGTGGCTGTGTGCGCGTGCGTATGTGTGTGTGTGAGAGAGAATGGAAGTGATAAATTGTTGGCCTTTGTCTTTCTGTGTGTGTGTGTGTGTGTGTTTTCTGTATCTATACCATGTGTTTGCTTTGCTGTGTGTGTGCATGCGCGCGTGTGTGTGTATGTTTAACAGCCTGTACATACTGTACATGTTTACTCTGTGTGTGTGTGTGTGTGTGTGCACACGTGTGTGATTGTGTGTGTTGGTCTGTGTTTGTCTGTAGGCACACTTTCGTTGTTTATTTAGTTTTGTGTGCACTATTTGTGTATTTGTTCACATTGTGCGTGTGCTCCTACAATGTAGACATTTACTTGTGTGTGCTCTAGTGTTTGTTTCTGTCAGTACGCGTGTGTATTTCTGCGTGCAAATGTTGGACACACGTGCAGCTTTTTACTGCCACACTAATCAGACTCGTCTGATAAAATATGGGATCCCGACTATAAATTCCTGCTGGCTGCTGCTGTTTGTGTGTGCGTGTGCTGTGTTTATATGGGCAAGGCAGGCAAAATAAAAAGCGGTTAAATGTGGCCTGTAGCTCCGTGTGGTGCCCAATGATTTCTCTCAGAAGAGTGAATCCCTCATCTCTGCCAGCAGTGTGCGGTGCACGTTTTGTCCTTGTGTGAGGGAGAGACTTTTGGAAGCAAATGATTTTGAGTATTACACCAACATGCCCAGGCTTAAATATGTGTTTTCTATCCATGGCATTCAATATGATGATACAAAGTATGTGGCTTGTTGAGTGGATGCTGAGATTGAAGAGAGGGGGGCTGGTGGTGGTGATGCTGAGGGTCAGAAGGGGAGGGCGGAGGACATTAAGGCCTCCACCACCAAGCGAGTCGCTAATTTTGCTTGTTTAGCATTTTCGGAGGGTAATAGGCCCATTGATTTTTGACTCTGCTCTGTGTTTTATTTACACAGAAGGGCCCCGGTGCCCGGGGAGTGAAATGTACCAATGCTCGTTAAAGAGAAATTGACTCGCGGATGGAAGAGAGGATAGGCTGTGAGGCAAGGGGAAGGGGGGCGAGGGATAAGGAGGGAGGAGGGTACGAGGGATGTCGAGCATGGGACTGAGCTGACTGAGAGGACAGCTAATCAATTGCAAATTAACAAAGCTGAAAGAGAAATAAAGAAAGTGAAGGACGAGGAGAAAATGGGTAGGAGAAGGGATGAGAAAGTGGTAAAAGAAGGAAGTAATAAGACGTTTTGATACTGAAGACTGGCAGCGATTTCAATGAGGTCTGACAGCTCATTTTACTGGTGTAGACAGGGAGCCATTTATTTCGATTTGAGGATTTTGGTCACATAGTGTTCCAGTGGTACTTTGAATTTGGGATTTTAGAAATGCATTGAGAACAACATTAAGTTAGTAATATAAAACTACAGTAAAGCTACTCCCTTATTCACAAGGTGTTGCCACAGCAGGTTGTTCCACGTGTTTGATTTTGCAGATTTTCATGCCAGGTTGTGTCAGAAAGGACATCGAGCCCGGCTCAAACCAGGGATCTTTTGCCTTATTAGACAAATGTGTAAACCACTACAGGATGGCAGCACTGTAATACAAAGTGACAGTATTTGCAATTTAAATCAGTAAGTATTTATAAAGTGTAAAACTTTCATATACATAGTTAAAAAGATCATCTGTTCAATCCTAAATTTCACTATGTAACAGTATTTTTACAGTAAAATTCATATTTGATGGTGAAAAAGTGTAGTACCACAGTAACCACAGGAGCTGCACAAGATTCAAAGTTGGGTTTCAACCAGAAAAGCAGGGAGACCTGGTGCTGGTGAGGTTAACAGTTCACTTCAGGTTCATGTCATGACATTATCTGCTGCTAGTGTGAGGAGAGAGGAGAGGCAAATGATTTAGTCTGCCATGCTTAAGTAACATAAACATAAGTTAAATTAAACTCTTTTCTTTACCTTTTTAATCTTTACTAATGCTGTGGGGATGTTTTTTCAATTGTGAAAAATAATTAATGATAATAGTTGATTTATTACATGCATTAGCTAAAAACTTATTAAAAATACAACAGTCCCTAGTGCATGGGTCCCAGGGTGGGAGGGTGTCGAATTTAAGGCCTAGAAACAATAACTGTGTGGTAATAACAGCAGAGTTCACAATCCAAGTCAGCTCCAGAATAAGCCATTTTCACTTCCATTCCCTCTTTTATGTTGAGGAATGAACGATTGTTGTTCCACGTTTTTCAGTATATAGCTTGTTCAGGGCTTCCATTCTGTAAAAGTTGACCTGAATTTTTTTGTGTGAGTATTTTTATTATGTGTAGGTATGTCAATCTTATAACATCTACACAATTCATCTGAAACTAGGCTGCATGTAGACATTATTTTACGGCAACAGAGAAAGCCACGTAATTGGGGGAACAAAAAGATTTCTACATGTGGCAATGGGCCTTGTCAGTATTGGTCTGGTGAAAATTAATCAGGCTTTTGAATGTTTGGTTCTCTTCTCTATTGTAAGGCAGGGTCTTAGTTTGTGTGTATGAAAGAAACCTGTATCCCACCACCACTGCCATAATCTCTGAGAGAGAGAGAGAGGTTGCTCTACAAAATCATAAATGTCTCAAACGAATTGCACTTAAGAAATTAAGTTTTTTAGTTATGTTATCACACACGTGCTGCTGCTATTCGGGACATTCTGCAAAACAGGCATGCATTTAGTGAGCTGGACAAAATACAGTCAGGCAGAGACATGCACTGCTGTGAGTTTGTGCATGATTTCACGCAGTTCAGACTTGAAAGTAATATGTAAATGTTAATTGGCCAAACCCAGTAAGTAAAGCAAATATGACCGGGCTGCTCATTCAAACATGAAGCTGAGACATTTTTATGCTGTCAGTTAAAGGGAGGAGTGCACGAAAGGGGCGCACATGTCAGACTGAAAGATGGAAGGAAAACTTTACATTAAGTGCTCCTTTCCTTTGAACTGTTTGTAACCTGTCTGTATAGCACCCTTTGTTTTTCTTCTCTGTTTTTCTCCACTGATCTAGCTGTTTCTTACACACACCCACCCACATACACACACATACAGAGTCACAAGAGAGAGTAGCCTTTATATGGTGGGGTCCATTAGGTGTATTAGCTGGTGGTGAAAAGTGGTGCTGATGTGGTGCTTACAAAGCTCCACAGGGGAGATGGACATTTGATCTTCTTTCTGACCCAATCTGACTCCAGGGCTCTTGCCTGATCTAATTTCTTTTTTGTTAGGAGTTAAAGTGGGGCTTATGGGGCTGTTTTTCCTCTCATATTCTTCTTCTTCTTATTACTCTTTTGGATGACAATTCAACTAAAAAAACAAAACAGAACACGTTTTCTCTGTCACGAGCTTAGTTGCCACCCCATTATCACAAAGAGATTTTTTTTAAAGAAAACAGATAACAAGTGGATTATTTCTGGCAAATAATGAAATAATAAGTAAGAATTTCTACAGAAGTCAATTTTTGTGGTCATGAAATTCAATAGCTCAGGAAGATCACACCATTAGTTGCATTTTCTCTGTATTGTTGAAGTTTGATGTTGCAAAGCTACTGATGAAAGATATTTTCTCTTTTTTTTTTAACTGGTAGAACATTTCTGCAGCGACTCACATACAGGTTCAAAGAAAAATCCAGTACCCATGATCTCAGGGGTTGCTGCTGTTTTATGTGACTGCAGACTCTTAACTAGCAAAAGGCTCCATAGATTGACTTAGTTTGAGTCCCAACCTCAGTGCAATCTCTGGCCAGTTGTTTCTTATTTTTGTCAACAAGGTGAATACTGCGTGTTAGAGCTGGGCCCTGATCATTGCAGAAACAAATTCTCCAGGTTTGCACGAACTGCAGGACATTTTTTTGGGGGGGAAAGGGAGCCTTGCTTTTTTTGCTTTGGTCTCTTCAGGGTGAAAAGACGTGTTGGCCGAACGGCCTGACATCCCTGCACTCTGGCCGCCAGACACAATATTTTGCCATTGATGTAAAA